GTTTCACGAAAAAAAAATCACCGAATAAAACAACTGCAGTTTCTTCCTCTAATTATCAGCGTATTCTTTTTTAAAAGCTCCAAAGAAATGTTAAACATCATGGGTGATAAGTTATATCAAATAAAATGGTGCATTTATTGGCTTTTGTTCGGTAGAAGACAAGTGTATTCAAGTTGGTGAGAAAATTTTCACTCTATAGGATATTTCAAATTTCTCTACCTTAATATTCTCGAGTAGTTGCTGAGTCTCCCTGTTGATCCCACTGATAACTGAAGACCATTTGCTTTGGCTATCAGCTGACAAATGCTTTAACATTTTTTCCAATTCCGTAACTCTCTCTCGTAATATATTTGTTCTGTGGTACAGATGTAATCTAAAATTGTTACAACTTTATATTGACATCTCAAGAAAACTGAAGAGACAGATTACCTCCAAATCTTTTTTAACCAGCTTTACCAAAGTCAATATAGCATTCTGTTTTGTGATTTTTCTCACAATGATTATTGAATGAATGGAGATACCTTGGATGATGAACTTTTCGTGCGAGATATCCACGTAGTGCACTCTGAATTTTTGTAAGTTGTCCGACACGCCATAGAATTTTGTTTTTCACTGCAATTTTTTAATAGAGTAAGTTACGATAAATTTGCAAAATTTTAACACTTTGAGATGTCCGTAAGAGAAACATACACTTGATACATGAAAGGACGCCATACTGCACTTTCTTCCATTGTACATGTAGCAGCCAGATCTGCACCTTCTTGATTAAACTTTCCATATGAACGGGATCTTGTCGAAGCATCTTTAAAAATTTCGATGATTTGAGCTGCACACCGAACTTTCTCGGAAGCTATTACAAAACTGAACTAAAAAGCAGTACGTTTTTTAAAGGTATTCTAGTTTTACTGTCCAAGTTATTTAAAAAATTTCGCTTGGAACGATCATTATCAAAGAAGTCTCGACGAATGCAACTAAAACGGTCTTTCGAGAAATCCTCTGTATTTTTAACTGTTTTTTATGGATGGAAGAAATCGATAAAAGTTTTAAGCTTTTTCCAAACTTCATTCAAATCACTTCCCGGATGAACTATGACTGGTTAGAAGCCTCCAAAAAATTGTACCTGATCAAATTCAGCAAACTTTCCAGGTCTAAAAAACACTTTCGTCTGACCAAACTTGAAATCTGTTTCGTTGAGACCGAGTGCATGGAATAGACACTGCAAAAATATGCGACATATTACAAAAGAATATGGATTATACTGTTCTTCCAAATGGCTCAGTTGTTTCGTTCTATTGTAGATTTTCAAAATCATTATTTCATGGAAATCCATAGAAACAAAGATATGAGATTTCCCAGGAAATTTATCGGAAATCACTAAATAATACTCAAGAAATAAGAAGTCGATACCTTGCAGAAAAGACGTGGATCCAGACGAGCAAGTTTGGATGGCATTATTTTTTCATATGTTTTATACAAAACCGCAAACGATGTCCTGAAATTGACTAGTTAGTTTTAGGTCTGCAAGAAACAGTACAAACCAAATGCTAAATGCTAGTTTTTTATTTTTCATTTGATCATATATTAACAAATGGTTATACTAGTGAAATTGTGCACCTGGAAGGATATCCTTCTTGCATAAGTTTCAAAACACTCGTCATACCAGCGCATTTTAATTGGCTCAATATCATTGCACCTTCAAATTCACCCGGTTTCATTTTCGAATTCGGTTTGATACATCGCACAAAATTTGTATTCTGCATTCAAAAACATTACATATAGCAGCAAAATTTCATAGTATATTTGAAAATAAAAAAGATGCTTAATTATTTCTTTTTAGTTGAGAAAAATCTTTACATTTTTCCAGACAATTATATAAACCAGAAAATTAAGTAACTGTGATAATTAACTTAAAAGAAAACAGAAAAATATACCGTAAGTTGGAGTTTTTTGAGTAGTTCGATGAGCTGTGCTCGAAATTTGTTACTGACCGATGCTAATATTAACTTGTTGGAAGATGATTTCCTACGAGTGTTATCCTGCGATTTGTCGTTAGTTGTTGTGAATAAACTTCGAAGAAAAGCAACACTAAATTAGACTGATTAAATTGTTAAATGAAAGGAAATTTTGTCGACTTTATCTAGCAATTTTATTTAGCACGCATTCAAATTTTTTGTGTAATTCGATACTCATAGAAGACGAGTATTCATATAATTGCCCTTTTCCACATTGAGAAAAATATATTTTGTTCAAGTAAAATCATTTAACTCTCTACAGTTAAAGTAGCCAAAGAAAAATCTACTTGCTGCCATTTAATAATAATTCCAAAGATGCATGCAGAGCATCATTATTCTTTTCCAGAAACAGAGACGTCTGATAACAAACAGAACCCGCGAAGTGCCGAATAAGCAATCCTTCATCATCTCGCATTTCTCGATGCTCCCGCAACTTTGACTTCCGCGGCGTCTTAAAACAACATGATATAAACTGATCATATAAACTTTCATTTATCAAATACGACTAACAATAGAGATTGAATATTTCATTCAACTTGACATTTTCGTTCGGTGATATGATCGCAAAATTACGACATAAAGTTCTATTTACAGTATCATTTAGTTCCATTCTTTGTCATCCAACTTGCTTGACTTTCATTTCAAAATACAAAAAGAATAATTTTTGTCAAAAACAACATTAACATTTTTCAGTTTAATATGAAATATCAGTCCTAATCAACAATTAATGTGATAAACATACGTTTGGATGCTCTAAATTAATGATATTATTGTTAAGCTTTGTCAGAGTTGTTTTCGTGGAGAAATTTTTCAATGAAATTAGAAATCATTTGACGACTGAACATATTTTAAAGACGTAATAGCATTGAAAACAACCGTCAAACGGAAATGATTTTGGAGTTGGTGATGTGCGCACATAGTAAAATGATGAGATGAAGGCTTTGGCAAACGTGCTTCCTCATCCAACAGATCCAGCAAACCACTTACTTTCCTCTCGAATAAATCTACAGAATTTCTCATTTTTATTTGCATGGAAATATTAGATCATTAATATTCTAAATAGTTGAAACAAAACTCACTTCTCGACATAATTTTATCTACAGCCTTTTAGATATTTCCAGATTAGAAGATGAACAATTTAAACAGTTGGGAATTTGAGAAGAGATTGCGGTGGGAAGCTCACCAATGCAGTCATCATTATCGCTGTATTCGATCCGTGGAACATTCAATCCTTCTTTTGCATATAAATCTTGTTCCTGTTTTAAAATTCGATCATTGAAAAAATTTTGCAATTTCTCATTGCAATAATTAATGCAGAATTGTTCGAATGAATTTCGTCTGAAGAATTCTGCAAATAAAATTGATGAAATCATTATTAAAAAATTAAAATTAAAGTTAATTAAATTCCTATACTTCATCGCGTTTTCAATCTATTTCCATTTATCTATTGTAACGATAACATATCCCTCTAATGTATCTCCTATTCGGATTCTCATATATCTTTCCATTACTCTTATCTTTTCTCACTTGTATTTCGATCTTGGTAGATTTAATTTGAATCATTTTCAATAAACCTTACTTTTTCAGAGTGAATAATTATCAAAAAAAGAGCTAAATGTCTTTCCAAAATGCTCTAAAATAAGCAAATATAATAACAAAACAATGAGAACAGAAACATCAATAATATATTCACTAACCGAATCCTGCGATATCCAATACACCGATGTAGAATGAGCTATCGCTAAATGGAATACATTTATTGATACGTGCAACGATGGCGTCAAATAATTTACTGTAAATGGCTTTTGCAAGAGCATCACGAGCTGCTGATGCTTCATGTGATTTCAGAGGTATCCTAAAATATACTCAACATCATTCATCCAAAGTTTACATTTGCTTCTTGCACAGATAAAAGGAGTAAACAACCAACCTGATAATGGTACCTTTAATACCTCCTTTGGCAGGTTGCATAATCCGTGTTGTGAAGCCATTTTTCAATTCATAGTCATCTAAACCAAGTAATGAAGCTGCATTGTGAAGTGCTACCATGCTGGACGGTTCAATCACACATCCACCTGTTGAAAAATAAAATAAAAATGGTACTGTTCTATATATTAGGACCATTCCCTGACATGGCTTCAACCTCTCAAGACCATTCCCGTGACGTGGCTTCAATTTCTCATGACCATTCTCGTGATATGGTTTCAGTCTCATATAATTGTCGAAATTTGATTGCTTTTGATAGATATATAATGTCTTCTCATTTGGAATAAAATAAGATACCTTTCGTATCTTCAACATTCTCGACGAAATATACATCGCCAAGATGCAATATGGCAGCAACAATATCAAATATAGTATTTAATTCTTGTACATCAAAGCCAATGCTATAAAGTCCTTTAAGCAATCTTTGGAAGTCGTTATAGTCATCTAATAGTTCATCGTGCAAATCTTCATTCTAAAACGAGTAAGTTGGAGAAGATATATTAAATTGAGAAAATGAAATCGCACAATTTATAATGATTAAAACTAGAAAACATAAAAAAAGATATCCTAATTGAGAAGTATCACGTGATTAAGAAATTGTGAATGTTAATGAGATGGCTTTGAATAAAATTTTGGATGAACGGAAGTTAATTCCTCAAAAACAGATTATAATGTTGCTATTCTCAACCTCGTATTCTTTCCTTGAAAAACAATTTTATGCAGCTTCCTCATTTAATATTTACTTCACAAAAGAATGTAAAAAGAACAATTGACTGTCAAAGTATATTAGTATTGGTCATACTAAAACAGGAATCAGTTCTTTTAAATTTGAACATTTTCTCTGTTGCTTACATCATTAACATTTATAGAAGATTTCAATTCATCCTGTAACTTACTTGTTTTCCTCGACGGTCTTTTGCTATTTTATTCGCTGTATTGGATCTACTGAAGAATTGGGCACATCCATGTTTGAGATACTGAAAAAATTTGAGCAAAAAGATAAAATTTCCAAAAAATTCCAATATAAATAGCTATGCATGCATACATCGTATAGCATATAATAATTCGGGTTCTCAATCAAGTTTACGTAAATCACTTTGCTATCAGTTTACGCATTATTATTAATCGATTTTTCAAATAAATAGAAAGTTCTTATTAACGAACTTTAAAACTGCTAGCAGGTTTAAGCTGTAGACGTTTAGCCATCTGTTCATCAGCACCTGCTATCAACTGATAAAAAATATGATAATTACGTTCACCCTCCAACTGATGACATATTCGTGATTTCTCCAACAAATAATGCGAAATAAAACCGCCACCAACTGAACTCTAAAATAATAAACAATCGAATTTAATTTTTAAAAACTTTTCACTCATTTCAAAGTTATAATTTTTTATTCGCTTCAAATTTTGAAAAACAAAAGTTTTCAGGAAATCAAAAGTTTTCATTTCTTTGAGGAAAACAATACAATCCAATAATATATTCCAATATCAAGTAACTACTTTAAATTTATTATACAAATTTCCCAATCACAATTTAGAATATTTCTTGATGACATTATGATTAAAATAGTTGAAACATAACTTTTAATAGTGTCTAAAAAACTAAATAATCTAAAGATAGTGTACTTTTTTTATTACGTATATATACATATATTAAAATAAAATTAGATTACTTTTGAGTTAAAATGTATTTCGACAAATTTTCCAAATCGACTGCTGTTATTATTACGTAACGTTTTCGCGTTACCAAAAGCTTCCAGTATCGGATTAGCTATAATTGTAATATAATTATTGGAACTTCAACGATTCCCATAATTTTATTCAAGGAGAAAAACTGGAAGAGTAATTACTTTCAAGTAAGCGCTGTTCAATGGGACCAGCGACAGAATTCCACGATTCGCAAAGGTATCGTAGGATGTACTTTTGCGATTCTGTTTTACCCGCACCAGATTCCCCGGAAACAATAATTGATTGACTGTTCTTTGTTCGTTTCATATCACGATAAGCACTATCAGCTGCAATGAAATAGTATTTTGAATCAAAAGATTGAATACTACTGCATAATATTTGATTTTATTATCCGAATGTTTAAATTTGAGTAGCGAAGAATATTAGGAGCTGTCAAAAATGAAATAATATTTTATTAAGTTATTTAACATTTTCGATTGGTATCACTAAACGGAGGGAAATTCTCAAAATATTTTAGAGTTTAACAAATTTAGCACAAATAAATCCGTGTTTAACGTGCCGTGAAAACTACTTCATTTTTTAAATAACAATTATTGAACTTGAAAATTAAAATGCCTGAAAACATTGTCATAAAAAAAACGATAGCTATTCAGCACTTACCAATGGCAAAAATGTGTGGTGGTAAAGTGCCAATCGATCGTCCCTGATACTTTCGAATTGTTGCACCGCTATATAAATCCGGTATCTGCTCGTATGGATTGATAGAAATCAGAATATTTGCGACATATGTCTGTATATAAAAACATATTTTTCATTTATTTTAATTTTTATCCAATCTTTCCCTCGGTCAAAAATTGTTTAAATTTGAATTAAAACTAGAATCCGCATGAAGGAACGGAGATGAAAGAACAGAAATTTTTGTGTGTTTGAAAAAACTTTTTTCTTTTTTGCAAATGGCTGAAACAAAATTTTACGAATTTTTTGTCCTTTGTGAAATATGTCAACAATGCAGTATTTATTAAGGAAAAGAATACTTACATATATTTGTTTTTGTGCATATCGTGATCGGCAATTATTCAGCAAAGTACCTTCGTTCAAATACATCAGCGCACCTGTAACAAAAAAAATAAAAATAAAACCATTCATAGTATTACACATTTGAAAAGGTGCATCATTGCAGATCTTTTTCAATTCAAACTTTATGTGTTCAATATATCATTATAGAAGAGATCTAATTACAAATTTATAATCATTCAATGATGATGAAACGATAACTATTCACATAACGTAAAATGATTTCTGCATAAATTTGTAAAATTATATTTAAAAAAATAATATGAACGATTTCATCGCAATGTTGCAATGTTATGAGATTGTTCAAAAAATAATGAAAATCAAGTAATTCTCTTGACTTATAAGAATGGTAAGTTAATCAAATTAAGTTAGGTTAAATATAACTTACAGTTATCATCGACATTTTTCTTCTGATCTTCCTCAGCTGGAAAAATTTCATCGTACCGAGCTGAGACCTACCGTTGTCAGAAATTATTTTAATATTTTCAGCCTTATCTCATTAAATTTATGAATATCTGATTAAATTAAAATAATGGATTTGCATTTTATCCAATTCTCATTAAATATGAAAATAATATTGGTTTGTTTCGTTGAAAATTGATCATGATCGATTTCACGAGTGTAGGTATAAAAATCCGTGAAAAGAAGGATTTTCAAAGTTTGAGAAATAATAGGAATAAAATTTTCATCAAAAAATATTTACTACTGATCCACCATCAATCGGTTCAACAGACATTGTTTCGCTACCAATATCACGAAGTACGCAAAGTTTAAAACCATCTTTAGGATCTGGTGCCCAAACCAATCGTCCGAAGGTCTCCCGAGGTCCGTTCATGCCTTAAACATAAATAGAAGAGCTTGATGCTGAAAAATTACAGCAACGTCATCCGACGATGTAATATTATTTTACAATAGTTAGAAAAACAAAACCTATTATTTTAAAAGAAAGATGATGGCTATCAAATAAAGTAAGCTTGTTTGGAAAATATTTTGTAAATACTATGCGTCAATTCCATATATTAAGCAGTAGCGGTAAGCAAAACTGTGATATATCGTTGGAAAAACACAATAATCGAATTCAAAAAGCTAATAACTTAGCATATATCTCTTTGTGATATATCGTTGGAAAAACACAATAATCGAATTCAAAAAGCTAATAACTTAGCATATATCTCTTTGTGATATATCGTTGGAAAAACACAATAATCGAATTCAAAAAGCTAGTAACTTAGCATACATCTCTTTGTACTCTGCAGAAAACACGAAATACTAGAAATCACTCAGAAAATCAATTTTTCAAAGCTATCATTTTAATTTGAAAAAATTTTTTTTCAATGTTCTCTTAAATCAATAATTCGTTGAAAAAAGTGCATTTTCCACTTACAGAAAAAGAAAAAAAGTTCAGGAACTGCTTCCAAGTTGATACATTATTAGGTAAATTTCATGAAGGCTATTTGAAGAATAGTAATTAAACCAGTCAGTAATTACTTCGAAAATACAAATTTAAAATTAAGAACCAGTTACTAATGTGATGATTCATTTTTAAATGCATCTTTAAATAGCGATAATAGCATTGAAATATTCTTTTTTTTCTTTCTTCTTTGAAATGAGAAGAAACGATTAAATCACATTTTTAAGCATTCAAAATCTATTAGAAAAATTTACACAGTTGATAAATGATTTCACAACTCTTCTCATTAGTTTCTTAACCATACGGGAATTCCTACTTATAATCTATCCTCAATTTTTAGCAAGAAAACTGCTTCTAATAGCAATGCCAACAAGTAATGAGAAACTGGTTGTTTAAAATTTAAATTAGAGAATTCCAAAAAAAAAAATCATAGCTGTTCCTGAAATATAAGCCTAAAATGAGTATTTATCTTTGTGTGATACGAAATACCGTTTTTAAATTATCCATGTCGCCTTGCTATTCTCATAGTTGGTGCAATAATCAAAGAATTTTTAAGATACTTTTGCAGAACCATTCATCATAGAAATGATAATGGATTATTATCAATCATTAATTAGTGATTGGAAAATTATTTATGGTTAGTAGATTTAAAAGTTTAAAAGAAAAAAGTGTTGAAAAGATCATTCTTAACTATCTATAAGTTGTAATAACAGCAGATGAAGAGAAGGCAATATAAGAATTTCAGTTTATGTAAAATAAACATTCAATCATACTGGATGCAATTTGTTTCTTCCATTCATTGGTTGATAAATTGATTTTTTGAAATTAATGAAATAAAATTATATCCACCCATTAGCATCCAATTTTAAATTCAATACAATTTCTAAAATATATGTTCAACAAAGAAAGAAAAATTAATTGACTGCTCGACAAATCAATCTTTTTTAAATTGATTTAGTTTTTGCATACATAAATATATTTATCTACATGTGTAGAATAGATGAAAAGGAGAGGGAGTTGGAAAGAGAGGAAAAGGAAATGTGTCATATTCAAATAAGAGAAGTTAAAGCGACTACAAGCAAAATTGATGCTGGCTGCATTGTCGTTGCCACACCACCCCTCCATACCTGTCGATAAACAAATAAACGATAGCTGGTTTGATGGAGTCAGTGAGCAGTACCTATCGCTGATGACGAATGACTATTTGATTGAAGTTATAAACGGCATCCACTAAATCTTTCGTCTAATCCAGTGATGCTAGGATGACAAGTGACAGACTCTCACACATATCAATAATGAATATCAAATTATGATAATTCAATATAGGAAAAAATGATATCACTGAATGAAAAGTTGAATAAATTTTGATATTTATAACGAATTCAGGACAAAATAGAACCGTAGGAGGATTAGAATTGGGGCGATATGTACTGAAATAACAGAATTCGATGAGTGCCACCAATGAGGAATTCTGCGAGAGGACAATCAATTGAGAGTTGTGGCATTGGCAGTGCCAGTCAGGTGGGTCGAAGATTTCATGGAAAAGCGCACTTTTGCTGTCTAGCGGTTTCAACATATTTTGCTGCATGATATAATAATGCATGTCATGCATAAATCGATTATCTACCAAAACAGATATCGTCATCTGATTAGCATATGACATCTCCCTTCGGTTCATTCTTTTTTATTTCGTAAACTTTGCCTGATGTATCCTTCTATGTTTTAGAATCATTTTTCGATTGGAGAAAAAATCAAGCTTAACATAAATTTGAGAGCACATTTGTTTGAAATGAAGTATATTTAAAAATAACATTTATCAATTTGACACACAATCGTTATATCAAAAAGAATTTGCATTGTATTCACTCTGGAAGATACGGGAAAATAAGGGCTTAATTTAAATGAGATATCTCCAATAGTATGATCGAGAAATAACATATAGGATATAACTGTTGCCAGCAGTAATTCCAACCCATAGGATGTTTATCGTCATTGGTATTTTTTGTCATCAAAATGAGGACCGGACTGCTAGGCTAATAATATACCTGATCGATATGACTGACGGCTTAACATTGTTTATTGCTAATAATATACAATGTTTACCTTAAAAAAGCAATGCTTATTGCTTGCTGGCTAATAATAATTTGAATATATGTGTGTGTGAAATAATGGAAGGAGGGAATTTGATTCTGTTTTGTTGATTTTCTCATTTCAGGCAATAATTGAAAGAAACGGGTGAGATTTTCGTATTGTTGTATGGGCAGTGAAATTCTTGAAATGTAGCGAAATGTCCGAAGTTTCCGATACTCAAAACTTTTTCCATTTCACATATCAATTTTTATGTGGGCGGTAGACAAACGCGCTAATCATTATCTGATTACTTATTAACTCAAGTTTTACCGTGCAGCTGCAACTAGCAAATTATTACTTGAAATTAAATAAAGTTTGCTTTTAGTACATATTGCAACACACTTATCATGGCTGGACTTGTTAAGCGAAAGAAATGTCATTAAATAATTACATAATAGTCTTCCGGTGTCAGCAGTCTATTCTATGGAATAGATATGTAACCTCGGAATAAAATGACAAATGGATGACAGTAACTCTTTTTTTTCCTTTTTTCCGCAACTCATGGAAATAATCTCTGATCGAAACGGAGTCACTCGAGGAGCTCATTTTGCACATTTATTTGCCGAGAGACTGATCAACGAACAACTGTTTTACTTTTACCAACACAATTTTATATTTCTCAAAACCGTATATAAAATGATTACATGATTGAGAATGAGATTCAGATGAACAGTAGTGAGTATTAGTGGTTCAATCTCTTCGCTCTCTCATCAGTTATCTGTTTCGAGGGAGTCACCTTGTTTGTTATGAATTGACTATCTCAGTGCGCAATCTAATTTCAAAGTTATCCCATATTTCCGAATTTAATCCCATTGTTCGATGTATTGTGAGTCTCTTCATTGACTCCTTTGTTTGTTTAATTCCTATTGAGGATCATCAGACGACCAAACATTTTTAATCTGATTTTAATTTCAACTTCTCAAATCATATCTTGTTAAATTAGATTTCATTCTTTTGCTGCCAAATCTACCGTGAAGAATAATTCCACCCTGAAAGCAAATTTATTTCACCCGGCGAATGAAGCTTGAAACATTACAAATGTTATGATTGCTATGAACATGGATAGAAACCTCTCCGAATAATTCATTTTTCAATGGAATTAATCACACTCTCAAAGTTATTAAGAAAAAATGCATTAATGGAAACTGCTTCATTTAATATTATTTATTCTCTGCAAGATATTTAGAAAAAAAATTCTCCGAAAGTGAATTTCTTTCTCCTCATTTTTTTACGAAAAACCTTGAATATAGAATTCAAAAAGCGGATCACCAACATTGGAGGCCATCCGATGCAACAGTGGAGGAGAACGAGCAGTGTGATAATAAATTGAGAGGGGGGTATATAAGCAATTTTCTGCTAAAGCATAATAGAAACAACTTTAATGAGCAGCATCAACACTACAACAATACATAACAATAACCAGAAAGAATAAACTTGTCGATGGAAAATATTACGCTGATGAAAGCATTTACAAAACAAAACTGAAAGTCACAAACTCAATGTACTTACAATTGAAATTAATATTGAGAGGTGGGAAGGGCATTGTATGAATGATACAGAATGATTAACAACGAACCAAGCATTTGAATTTTGCTCAGTTATTTGTTACACAGGTGGTAAAAAAACACTTATATTTTTAATTAATTTCATCTTATAGTTTATAGCAAAGTCGAACAAAAACCTCGCACGAATTTATAAGAAATAAAAGTTAATTTCTGAGTAGCAAGACAGCAAATATGAAAGTCACAAATATCAAATTTCAATAACTTTTTAAAATGTAATTAAATATTAAAATTAACCCGTTAATATAGGTGAGCGGAATGTGTAACAAATTTAAATTGCATAATTTCCTGTTTGAACCGTTCCGAAAATTCAATATACAACGACATGGTAAAATACAAACAAAACATACATAAAAGATGTAACAGTGAAATGCCTGTTGAAAACGAAAAAATGAGGATAAAAGTAATTTTAAGAATGCGATGCCTAATAAAGATAAACAATGACAAGAATAAAAAAACATGCGAAAATGAGTAAAGGGCAGAATTAGCTGTTTATGACAGCGTCAACAAATGCACAGTTCTGAAGTAGTGAGAATTATTTGATTCAGTCAACATGACAACAACCGTCGCTCGGTATTTTCAATGAATGCAGCCATGTGAACGGTACCCCGGCATAATTGCATATCAAATACGGCTGCATAATGAACATGACATGTTTTCTCACAAAAACATGTCACTCTGTATACATCCAGCTTTGTTAAAAATTCATGAAACTAAGAGAAATTTAGAAAA